CCAGTTCTGACTGGTGCACCTGCAAGACCCAGCGCTCTGCAAGCCACACCACTTCCAGGGAGGCCGCAGAAGACCTGCGTTCTGGGCTAGGACAAAGCCAAGACCCTAGGACTCCACCCAGGTCTCCCGCGCTGACTGAGCCATCTTCTCTTCCTTTCCCAGATGCATTAGCAGGGAGCTGGATTGGAAGTGGAGGTGAGACTCAATCCTAGGCACTCCAGGATGGGATGTGGGCATTCCAAATGGCAGCTTAACCAGCTGTGCCACAGCACCAGCACCTGTGAGCCACGCTTTGATGAACTCATCTGTTCAGTGAGCTGGAAAGGGGGTGGTTTGATGGCTAAGGTGGATATTAGGTCCCTGCTAATGTCGTGGGAATGAGAGCCGACAACTCGGGGTAGAACCAGGGAACAACCCTAAATGTTTTGTCCTGGAACTAAGTTGCTGTCTTCAAAGCGTAAAAACTGTTTCCATGACATCCAGTCCTTGCTTCAGGCTTGCTCTGCCACCATGTGTCTGCCTTTCCAACTCAGGAGCAATTGTCACAGAGAGGTCTCGTGTCCCGTGTCCCATGTCCCGTGGTGTGACTCAGCTTCTCACTGTCACCTGGCAATGTAACACTGCTCAGACACACAGCTGCATGCTCCGGGGCCCAAGGGAGAACCTGGACAGAACCCGGCTCTCCTCCTGCCAGGTCTGCCTGCACTTGCGATCATAAGGCCTTTGATTGATATTCCCTGGGAGATGCTTTCCTTGTTTAACCCATGGCTGTGCTAGTTTCTGGAGAAACTTCTCATCTCTTTTCTGCCTTGTTCTAGAAGGACTCATACTTTTATTTGATGTATTTTTCATTTTGTCTGAAAGATAGACAGAGCTTCCATGTTCTGGTTTACTCCCTAACTGCCTGCAACAGCCAGGGCCTGCAGAGGGCAAAGCCAGGAAGGCAGCCCTCCGTCTGAGCAGGACGCCGGGAGCGGGGAGAGCAGAGCCAGGTCGCAAGCCCAGGCACTCGGACAGGGCACGCCTGCCTCCATACCTTTCCTATTTCACTCCTCTCTGTTTTTTATTCTTCCTCTTTAGTTCCATTTTCTTGTTTAAAAAATGACTCTTAAAAGTTTTGGCTCTGCTTTCTCCTCCAATGTATTGTTTCCTTTCTCCTTATTCCTTACCACAGGGGATCTTTTCATTGTGTTCATTGAGTGTAAGGAAAGGACTTTAGCTACTAGGCCACCGCACTGGGCCCCGTGTTCTCTTCTTCTCCAGTCAAAGTTCCCCTGCCTTATAGATCTTCCTGTCTTCCATCAATTTCTTCCAAGTTTTTCCTTTCCCTCCTCATGAGACACTTGTCTTGGGATCTTTTTTTTTTTTTTTTAAATCAGATTCAAAAAGCAGGTATATCAGTAGTACTCAGCCTATTGGGGATTGTCACAGTGGCTCCCCAGGGTAATCCTCTGCCTTGCAGAGTCAGCATCCCATGTGAGCATTAGTTCATGTTCCAGCTGCCCCTTTTCCCATCCAGCTCCCTGCTTGTTGCCTGGAGAAGCCTGGAGGATGGCCCAAAGTCTTAGCACTCATATGGGAGACGGGGAAGAAGCTCCTGGCTTTGGATCAGCTTGCGTCCGGCCGTTGTGGACATTTGGGGAGTGAATCAACAGATGGAAGATCTTTGTCTCTCCTTCTCTCTAGAAAATACATTTTCAAAAAAAAGTCAGCCTGTCTCCTGGTTAAGGGTTATGGGCTTGTCCTTTATTTCGAATAGCATAGTGATCCATACATAAAAGTTACTCAATGATATTTTTATTGGCTTTATGATACTGCTGTTTATAGTTATTTTAGAAGACGCATATATGTATAGGCTTTGGGTTGGGTATGAATGAGCCATTTAGTGAGTATGTCCAGATTGTAAATTCCCAGGCACACCCTGATCATATTGTAAGTTCCTTTTGTTAGCTCTCCCGGGCATGAAGTTGGCACCGAAGTTTCCACAGGGATGTTCAAGCAAGGACGTGAAGCCAACAGGATGTCCCCTCAGATTCCGGTGTGGGAAGCCCTCTAATTAGCAAGAACCTGGGGTTTATCTGTCTTTGAAATGACCAACCATTGTAAAAAGCAAAGGCAGGAGTGTGACTCATCCGTTGTTTCCATAGCAGCCCTGTTGACCCTCCGTCTTTCTTATTACTAGTTAGCCAACCCTGAGCTGCCACACCTGGTCAAGTGGCCTCATGACTCAAAGTCGTAAGATCTCGAGCATTTTCCTAAGAATCAAAGGGCACTCTCGTGGATAAGTCCTTTATGATGCCCAGAGATGAGTCATGTACTGAGATGAGCCAGCAGGTGCACGGGGCAAGGCCACCTCTGCAGATAGAGCTGGCATGTTTCTCTTGTCCCAGGCACATGGTAACTTGTGCCTGCCAGTTCAGAGGGGATGAGGAGGGAGCATGCCAGCCACCAGAACATCTCAGAGCTCTCCATGCGGATGCCAGACCTGGGCATCTCCCTGCCATGTGGCGGGGGGGATAAATGAAATATTTTTATGTGAGGCCCGGCGTGGGGGCCTAGCAGCTAAAGTCCTCACCTTGAACTTGCCAGAATCCATATGGGCATCAGTTCTAATCCTGGCAGCCCCACTTCCCATCCAGGTCTCTGCTTATGGCCTGGAAAATGTCAAGGATGGCCCAGAGCCTTGGGACCCTACAACGGTGTGGGAGTCCTGGAGGAAGTTCCTGGCTCCTGGCCTCAGATTGGCACAGCACTAGCTGTTGCGGCCACTTGGGGAGTGAATCATCAGAAGGAAGATCTTCCTCTCTCTCTGTCTCTCCTCTTCTCTGTATATCTGACTTTGCAATAAAAACTAAATAAATCTTTAAGACACACACACATAAAAGTTAAAGAAATAATGTTAAAATATATATATACATATTTTTTTATGTGACCAGATACTTGCTGCTTCAGGGAAAGTAGGAATTATTTGGGAACAGCATCAGGATAAGCCAGTCTCTGCCTGGATGCTGTTGCATGATGCCTGGATGCACCTTATTCTGTATCCTTGGGAGCACACATTTCAGACGTTGCAAGAAGCCTGCTTGGGTCCTGTCGTGTCAGTGAGATCAGATCACACTTCCTTTTTCCATTGTGGGTTCTGAGCAAACCACTGCCTTAAACATAGAGCAAGTGTAACACACGGTCAGGTACAAGCACCCACTGGTCAGTTCTGGTCAGGCCTCCTTGGTCTCACGGGATTACTCCTGGGCTTTCCACAGTCCCTGTCTTTGCACCTGCAATGGTCCCTCCCCTGCTCAATGACCCCCTACTCCCAGCCCTGTGCTCACAAAGCAGCCAGCCACAAGGTCTGCTGTGTATCCTTAGGACAGTCCCATTGCCTCCCTAAAGCATCGTCAGCAGTCCTCCATGCTGGGAGCGCCGTCCCCACCCCAGCAGGGCGGTAACTGGCTCTGAATATCCACTAGGAGCCAGCCCAGCCTGGTGATTGCGCACAGGGAGAACAAGGGCTACTCCCGCCTGCACACTGCGCTGTCACCCAGGCTTCCAGGGCCTCCCCCTCAGAGCTTCGCACAGTCAGCCCCTTTCCTCCTCCCTGGGGCTGGACCCAAGCCACAGAGACTAGACAGAGACCTGTGGTGACAATCCCTTGTCCTCACTCCTTTCTCTGCTCCCCTTCCTCCCCAGCCCCAAATTCCAAAGCTCCAACATATATATAGGCTCAGGCAGGCCCAGGGCTCTTCTCACGTCCATTTGAAGGCAGACACAGTCCAGCATGAGATGGGAAACTTGCTTGCTCCACATTGGAACATCAGAGCAGTTCTGGGCGCAGGTGTTTGGCATCACTGCTTGGAACGCCTAGAGATTGTTTGAATCCTGGATATGCCATAGGTACAGGTGATGGCTCAAATAGCTGGACTCCTGCCACCCACATGGGAGACCTGGCTGGAGCTCCAGGCTGCTGGCTTTGGTCTGGTGCAGCCCTGGATGTTGCTGGCAATCGGAAAGGGGACCAACAGGTGGATGAGCTCCTTGTGTCTCCCTATGTGTGTGTCTCTGAGTGTGCATCTGCATTTCAAATCACATGAAAATAATCACATCTTTTGTTTTTGAATGAGCCCGTCCACCCCTCGGTTCTTTCAGAGGTAATTCCACTTGTGGGCAATTTTTCTTTCATTTCTGGATGATCCCTTCCAACTTCTCAATCGTCTGTCTTTTGATGGCCTGGTAGGATCAGATCTGCATTCTCTCATTTTTGACTTCTGTTTCCTGTTTCCATCTATTCAATAGCAAGTATCCCATTTCCAAAACCTTAGACCCTGACTCACTTCCTACTTGATATCTGTTATGATCTGGGTTGCATCTCACTTTTTCATCTCTAAAGTGGAAATAAAAATAATAGCTACCCTCCACGTGCAGGTAAAATACTAGGTATGGTGCAACATACTCAGTCTGTGCTTGGTGAGTACTAGCTGGTGTTATCTGAAAAGATTATCTGTCTTGAATATCCTAAACCATTACATTCACCTCTTAGCCAGCTAGATGCTACCGGTAAATATCACCTCTCCCACAGCTTGGCCATTTATTCTACCAAGTGTTCATATAACCATGTTTGTCCTAATCCTGCCTTGATCAAAAGGGCCTTGTTATTTATGCATTCGACTTGAAAGGCAGCGAGGCAGACGAAGCAAGAACTTGGATCTGCTGGCTCACTCCCCAGTGTCTGCAGTAGCTGGAGCTTGGCCAGGTTGACACTGGGAGCAGGTGCTCAGTCTAGGTCTCCCAAGTGGGTGTCAGGGACACAAGCACTTAAAGCCGTCACCACTGCCTCCCTGGGGGTGCACTGACCGGAAACAGGAATCAATAAGGGCACTGGAACCCAGGTGCTAGTGCGAGATGAGGGTGTGCCAAGCTGCAGGTGCCCCCAAGCTGTGGGCTCAGCTTTAGGCCAAAGGGATGCCCTATCAAAGACACCTGTTTAGCGGTTCCCTGTTCTGCAGGTCTCTCCAGAATCTGCACAAACATCCATTTGTTCCTGCATTGTTCATCAACTATTTCCTGACAGCCAGGTATGCACCAGCAGTGGGAAGCAAGCCGAAGGAGGGCTGAGACTGGGAGGTGTCCCCACTCCCTCCACGCACACTCCCTCGGGGATCTCATGGACCCAGTCACTGCGCATTCCTGTGGTACGCTTGGGTTCCTTCTGGTCAAGTCCAAGAAGTAAGGACACACGGTTAGGACCAGCAGGTGAGCAGAACCGGCGAGGACGCGCCCACCGACAGCAGTTTCGCCCGCAGCGCGAGTCTGCGTCCTGGGAGCCGTCGTGGGGTCTGGCAGGGCAGCATGGATACCGCCTGCGTCACGGTCCCACCTATCCCTGTCCCCCTGACTTCTGTGCCCTCGGGGAGGTCCAGCCTCGGTGGCCGGTGTAGGGGAGGCGAGGCCGAGCGGGCAGGGCGCCGCCCCGCGAGGGCCGGGCCGGGCAGGGCCGGGCGTATTTGAGGGCAGAGCCGCCGCCCCGCCGGCGCCCGCACCACCTCGGCAGGAGCCTCCCGAGCAAGTGATCCGAAGCGAGGTGAGCAGCGGGGAGCAGGCCCGGAGAGCCTGGCTTTGTGGGAACTGTCTGGGCTCGGACTGCCCGTGGGGCTGCAGTGTGGGGCATCGGGCAGCGCCTGCAGAGTCCGGCGCGTGCAGGTGCTCGGGCGGGGCTGTGCACGCACCACCCTCTGCCAGCCTTTCTCGGCCGGACGGCAGGGCGGGCCGGGGCGAACCGCTTCCTCATCGCAGGGTGGACCCAAGCGACCCTGCCAGCTTGGTGTTAGGTGCCAGGATCTTCGGGATGTCTGTGGTCTCTAGGGCGCCTCCATGGTGGAGCAATATGCTTAGTCCTAGCAGATCTTGCTCGGAGGGGCACGAGTGAGATGCTCGCTCGGGTCCGGCAAGAGGTCCAGTGCCTTCGAACGCTAATCCCGCAGAAAAAGGCACTGCCGTAGGCCTCAGAGGGCCGGAGCCCGGCTTAGCAAACTGCGTACCCTAAGCGTTTGCAAACTCGTGACTCATCCCTGCCCGGCCCAGCGCATCCTGGCAACAACAAGCCGGACTCTGGGCTGGGGAGCTGAGGGGTGTGGCAGGGCAGGGGGAGTTTTGTGGAGTGCCCTGGCTTGGGCTTCACCGAGCTGCGTGACCAGCTGCACACAGAAAAACTGGAAGTGCCAGCAGCCTGTTCTAGCGGGGGGGGGGGGGGGGGGGAGGCACCTTGCTAAGGCCATGACGTAGACCAAACCCTTCAAGGTAGATGATTCCTATCCCAGACGTTGTGGAATATTTGAAAAGTGACTCCTGGGCGGTTGGGTTGCAGGGCAAGGAGAATGCCCCAGCTTTAGTGATCCCGTGGCTTCTGGGATTCTGGAAGAGAATGGAAGGAAGCAAGGCTCAGGTGACTGACTTCTGCAGAAAATGGCAGTGTAATGGTCACTTCCCCCCGCCCAAGACAGGGCAAACACTTCCACCAACTTCCAGAATTTTGAAATTGTTTGTCTCAAGTTGTTTCTATAAACTATTCATACTTCAAAGTTGGATTTCCATAAAAGCTACAGTTTCATATGAAAAAGTGTACTTTTTCTAGAACAACAGTCTTTGCATTGAATAGGCGAGAGAGCTGCTATCCGCTGATTCATTCTGAAAATGCCTGCAAGACCCAGGATTGGGTCAGGCCAAAGCTAGAAGCCTACAGTTCGATCCAGCTAGACCTGGTCTTCCCCAGGAGTTGGCAGAGCCCCAGCCACTTGAGCCATCGCCCTCTGCCTTCCCACAGATTCTATGAGCAGGAAGCCGGAACAGAGTGGAGCTGGGAGTCACACACGAGGTGGCAAGGGTCAGCCAGGTTGCTATGCCCAATGTTTGTCCCAGTCTTGTCAGACCTTGACATTGGTTCCTTGGTGGAGGCTTTTTCAGGCTCAGGATGGTCATTGCCACTTGTGGTCTTGAGAGGCCTACACCTGCTTCCTGGGGTCACAGGATTTGGGAATTCCATTAAAAACTGGCTCCTAGTCTGTGCTCTGGGGAGAATTTGGATGAAGGCCCTTAAATGGCTAGATCTTAGAGGTGGCAGGGGAGGGGTGAGGAGGACTGCTCGAGGGACTGTGCCCAAGTGGAACAGGCGAGTCTCGCTTCAGACATGCATGGTGCATTCTAGAAGCTTGTCCCTTACTGCTAATGAGGCCAAGAGGCCAGTAATGGTCTCATCTCTAAGATATCAATTACAGCTTTGCCTGGACCTCATTGTAGCCAGCCTCTTCTTTCTCTCTGCAGCAGAGAGCTATATTCATATTGGGTCACTTGAGAGTCTCACGCTGACAGCATGAGACCTTCTGTCCCCTGGGGACTGATCTAGAACATTGTCCTTCTCTCTTAGATCTTTGGAAACACAGGTTTTGGCTGAGACCGTCTGGGTGGTTCTTGGTACCTGGGCTGGTTCTTCCTGTTAAATTCTGTGTGGGTAACCGACGAGCCAGCCTGCACAGGGCTTGCCAAAACCTCCTCCCGTTTGCTGGTGACTAGCGTCACATGTCTGTGCTTGATTGCTCTGTAGCTTTTCCAGAGGGGGGGCGGAAATCACGGGTAATCGAACCGCTTAGGGTAACCCTACCTTTCTTGATCCTGGAGAACAAGTAAAAGAAAGTGATCCTAGGAGGGCGCTAGTCTCCTGGATCCCAATTCGGCACTGCTGTTTGCCCCTGGAGTGACTTTCCCCTAGGCTCTGCTTCGTGTTTCAGTTCTCCTGCGCTGTTTGGAGAGGAGCTAGGTTGGGAGGACAGTATCCCAAGGGCTTCAACAGAGTCCTCTGAAGGAGTCCGGCTGCATAAAAGCTGGAGCGATTTTGACCAGAGATTTCCAACTTATCCCTGGGAATGTGGATGGTGGGAGTGACTGCTGGGTGGGCTTGGAATAGCACAGTGGCAGGGCTACCTGCTCTTCATGAAAGGGAATGCTTTGCAACTACCAGCCAATTAAAATGGTCTGCATTCTAGCTCATGTTTATGTGCCCTACTATAAAGTCATACCTAACCATTTCCAGGACATGATTCCAAATGGGTAGAATTTCTCAGGTTAGGGGTTTATTTTTGATGACGTCTCTCCGCCCTCCATTTCTCTCTCCCTCTCCTGGTTTCTCTAATTTCTGTAAATTCTAGGAAAACCAGGGTGGAGCTTGTATGGTCACGGAATCTTCAGAGTGAGAAAATATCTTTACATTTGATTAGGTGCATCCTTATTTATCAATTGCACATCAAAAAATAAAAAGAGGGCAAAAAAGAAACAACTTGCAGGCAGCCAAGGAAGTATTGATCTTGAGATATCCTCTTGTTTTTCTCTAAAGTTCTCAGGCTGTCAACTTTGATTTCAAAAATGCATCAGTTATAACTGAACCCACTTTGAAAAAGAGTTGGGAGGGGTGGAAATACATCTGACCCAAATAGAGCTTACCAAAGCTCTGGAAAAGTACACTTTATTGGTTAAAAAATGTGGTTCCAATTAGTCCAGTGACTGTAGCAAATGGCATCCTACATAGAATGACTGTAGCAAAGGGTGCCTTACATGGAACAAGTCAGCCAGTGCTTTTTTTTTTTTTTTTTTACAAACAGCATCTTCTTTTGAATTTGTTTACAACTTCAGCATGTTACTTCTGGGTGAATAAACCAGAGAACTCATTTCTCAACAACATCTTGAACACTTGTGAAGGACTATTCTTTGCCATGGCCAAGTGTGAGGTTTTGTGTTCATGCAGGAGTCTGTGTGAGGAGTCCGCAGACGGGGGCCCTGGTCTTGGAGCTGCTGTGGACAGGGTGATCTGGGACTGCCATGTTAGCGCTTTGAACTTGTTTCCTGCGAATGCTTGTGGTCTCCTGTCACTCTCAGAAGATTGTTCACCAGAACCAAAGTGTGAAAGTGCTTTGTAAACAGACAAGCACCACCAACAGGGTGTCTCAATTCCAACGGGTGTGTGTGTTTCATCATATGACCCATATGTCAGGCCAGGTCTGTGGGGAACATAGTGGAAATACAGTGAAATACGCTTTGCTCTTCAAATTGCACTTGTTCAGGTTGGAAACTAAGCAGGCCAGAGCAGAGACTTAGAAAAAAGAATGAAATATGAAATTCTGAAAATGCATTGTTCATAGTTTCTGATTGTAGTTTGCCTTTAAGTACATCTTACTGAGTCCCTTTAATGAAGAGCTGTATGCAGCAAATGATCCATAGATAGCTTGTAGTTACCATGGAGATCTCTTAGGTCTCTGTTGACCTCTCTAAACACACCCATGCAGGATACGCATGTTCACCAGCCTACAGGAGTGGTTCTCCCCATGGATGGTTCTTACCATTGATCTTTGCTCCAGGGCATATCTGGCAACATATTCTTGGCTGGCACAAGTCTGAGGGTGGCATGCTGCTGACACCACTGGGGTTAAAGTCACAGATGCTGTGAAGGACGGACTGCAGTGTCAGCAGACAGGTTGAGAACAAACTCCTATATGGTGGGCACCTAATGCACAGCAAGTTAGAGCTGGGCTCTGCCGGGGTCCCCAGGGTTGGAAGGCGCATGCGTCATCCAAAGAGCAAAGTTCTCTGCTTTCCTTGAAGTTCAAGATCGAGTATTACCCGTGTTCAACGTGAGAGGCTTTATTTGCTGGGCTGAGACATTCCATTCCTTTCCCTTTCTATGACAATTCCCCTCCCAACTTCCTTTTGCTGTAGTAGCATGTTGTCTCGCGTGGGGGTGTGGCAGTCTTTAGGGAAATGGGGGCACAGGCAGAGCTGCTAGCTTGGTCTTTAGAAGGTCAAATCCTGTAGGAAACGCAGTGAGTGGACAGTGCGGAAAGTGCTGGGGGTCACTGTGACTTCTTTCTGAAGCTGGCTGCAAGCAAGGAGTCACACATGTAACTAGTGAGACATGTGATTGTGAATACACGCCAGGGGACGTCTAGAGTATTGAGTGTGTCAGTGACAAACGTTAATTCCCAGGAAGGACTCTGTGACAGACTGCTCCCTGCTAGGGGACAGCCCAGGACCACTTCCACATGGTAGAGTGACCATGTGAGGGAATGGCCACCAGGATATATAGCACTGGGCTTTTCTACATCTTAGGTGTGGGGGATGGAGGATGGCGGCAGCTTCTCAGTTCGTGCGTGCTTGAGTTTTTACAGAAATACATATACATAGTCTTTGGGACCTATCGGTTGTCATCATTAATTTGACCTCTTGGGGACAATGTCACTTCCTAAAAAGGATTTAATAAATATCACAAGTGGGCAAATCAGGAAACATGACTCCCCGAGAATGTCAAGATCTGGCTAACTTGGGTCGCAGCAGACTACTTGGAATCTGGAAACAGCTCAGTCAAGCCCAGGTGCCCTATAGTTCACACTGCCTGTTGTCTATACCAGGGGACTTCAAAAATGGAATAAAAAGAGGTTAATTTTGATGCAGAATTGTTTGAAATGCACACATAGCTTTTTCATCACTTACTCTGGAAACCCTTTGCTTCTACAAGGATTCAAATTCCTGCTGCACCTGCTAACTGCACTGATTTCCTAAACTTCCCTTTTTTTACACATGGGTCCCATCCTCTCTAGTGGATCACAAAACCTTTCGGCAACCCATACGTTGACCATCTCCTCTTCCCAGTTAGGCAGGACCCTGACACTGTGTCAGGCAGGCCCAGGGTGGCTCCAGAGTGTACCAGTGAAGGAATGAATAACCAGGCAGCAAGCAGGTCTACGTGTTTTGTGTCTCAGTAGGAATCCACCCACATTGCTGTTCTAGAACAGCAGGCAGGGCAGGCGGGCCACTGGAACCCACTGAAGCCTTTGGAGAGCTCCAGGCTAATGGCAGGTGGTGAGTGCCCAAGCAAGAGGCCACCACCATTTTACCATTATCCCCCTGGCACAGGGACAGCTATTTCTCCTTCCTACTTCCTTCTCCATCTTGCATCTGGCCTCTCCCCACCACGAGTCAGAACACGGGCTAGTGTGCTGCAAGTTGCAGTTTATGAGTTAAATAAGGTTCTGCAATCCAGCTGGCAGGCAGGCACCTCCGCCCCAAGAAAGGTTCCTGGACTCCCCACTGCCAAGTGAGGCGTTGCACCTGGAAACGGACTGCAGCTGGGCAGTGGACTCCACGAGGTTGCTTGCAAGAAATCCACGAGCTCCCTTCTAGCCTCCAACATTCACCTGTCTCTTTTTGCTTCCCTCACAGGAAAATGGCTGACGGTTTTTCGGTGAGTGTCTCCTGCTTTCTCACCCTAACACCCATTGCCCGGGGCCCGTCTACTAGTCTCCTAGCCTGTGGTTTCCCTGTGGCTCTGTGCAGATTCTGGAAGAAAGCCAGGCACAGGCGGGCCTGGAACCTCTGTAATGGCCCAGGGGTGGGTGTTGGTAGCTGCTTCTCTCCTGTTGATAGGCAAGTGAGAGCTTGGTGAGGAGAGCTAGCTCCTGGCCACGCAAATACAGCCCTCTCTGCTCTGAGAGGAGCCAAGAAGAAAGTGGAAAGGTCCCATCTCATCAGCTGAGTTTGGTTTGGAGAACTCTAGACTATTAAGAGATGGGAAAAACTCCTTACTGTTTTAGACCTTTTCCACAGCCTTTCAATTTGTGCATCACATTTTCTTTGCTTTCAAAAAACTGTGTAACTATTTCCTATTTTGTAATTATTTATGTCTTTCTTTCCAGCTCCACGATGCCCTGTCTGGGCCTGGACACCCAAATCGCCAAGGATATCCTGGCCAGTGGGGGAACCAGCCTGGTGCACCAGGCTACCCGGGGGGCCCCCATCATGGACCCCACCCTGGGCATGGACCCCCTGGCCCCTACCCTGGCCCTGGAGGCTACCCCGGGCATCCAGGTGGACCTGGCGCCTACCCACCACCACCCCATGGACAGCCAAGTGCTCCTGGAGGTTACCCAGGCGCCAGCCCTTACAGCACCCCTGGTGGAACACTGGTAAGGCGGGGCTGGGCATTTTGCGTGCTTGCCACATCAAGGCCTTCAGGGAGCTCATCCCAGCCACAGTGCCTGTCTGTGCTCACATTGCATTACCACGTGTTCTGACGCAAAAACACAGCAGCAACCTCGTTTCTTGTCTCACACGAAATAATAATTTTCATGTGGACAATTCCAGTTGGCAAAGCAGGATTTATTTAGGAAAAAGGGGGAAAAAGGGTTCCTGCCATGGTGTCCTGAGGAAAAACCCCAGAACTCCTGCCATAGTGTCAGGAGGAAGGAAAAACACTCAAGTTAATGGTGGAGATGGTGTCTTGTATGAATCATCTCAGGGGAGTTATTACAAAAGACAATGGCACCTGGTTTCGAATCAACCCTCATAGGGGTGGGACTGGTTAACTTCCTGCCATTCTAAAGATAACTGATCACGCAGGTACCATCTCTGACAGTGGCCCAGAGATGAGATTAGATGTGTCACTTCTTGCTTTTGTTACAACTTTGAGATGGTGAATTCCTATGTTAATAATTCTACCCCGTGTCTGGAGAAATTAAGACATGGGGGAGAAAAACAATTTTATATTTAAAAAAAAATAACTTGGGGAGCAGAAAAACCCTAGCTGCCTAGTGTCCCATCTGACCCCTAAGACACTGTGATGTACCTTTTGCAGGCATCACTAAGGGTGCTTTCATAGAAGCTGCATTAAGGTCACAGGACTGGGGAACAAACACCCCAAGTACCTAACACATGCAGCAGTGGTGCCAGCACACAGTAGACCCACCTGTAGGATGCTGTGGTTATGCCTGGTTTTCACCTGAGGAAATTGGCAGGAGATGCCTCCCTAAAGCTCATGCGAGACGTGTCTTATGGGGAAAAACATGCATGGTTTCAAAACCTGGTAGTAAAATGTATGCATCTTTGTGTTCCATTTGCTCATGATCTCTCTGAAGTCCCTTTGGCAATGGACCCAGGGTCATGGTAAGAGTAAGAACCCAGGTGACCCAATTGTGAAAGACAACATGGTGGTTATCCAAGGGTTGGGTTTTCGTTACAACAGTGGAAACATTAAGGCATAGAACAAGGAAAGTGCCAAATAACTTAGTGGGATCAGATCACTCTGGGACTCCAAGGAAGTTCCTCACATTGGAGGCTCCAGAAGGGAAACTTTTGGGGGACAGAGTGGCAGAGACCCCTGCTGTGCTGGAAGGCACTACTGGCAAACTGACAGGAGGATGTGCAGGGGTCACCTGGCTCTGGGCTAGAGACATCTGGGTGCAAGTTGAATGTGGGGGACACACTGTGAAGGGAGACAGGGCCACCAATGGGGTTTTGGGGATAGCCTCAGACTGGGAACACAGAGCATCACTCATTTGTGGAATGAACTGTGCCAACTAAAAAGTGTTCAGGTCACAACTACCGTGTGCCTGACAAGTAGGAGAGCCCCAGCATGCAGCAGGGTGCCTGCCTTGAGAGCAGGACAGCCACAGCAAGGCTGTGAACAGGATCCTAAGAGTGCACGAAGCACCCTAGCTAAAGCCTGACCCCAAAGAGTCCATGGGAGTGACAGCTGGGAACAGCCCAGGTCATCCTGGTGGCAGTGTTCCATAAGGGAGCTGCTTCCTCATAGGCAAACTCGTGTCTCCAGGCGCTGAGCAGGGTGGCCTTGAAGTCTGGAAATACAGCTTTGGGGAGGGTTGGGTGTTCCTCACTTGCAGTAACAGTGCCCAGGCTGGAACACCACCACCGTTCTTTTTTCCCAGCAAACCTGACCCCTAACTGTAATATGCATGTGCCCTTCTCTCTTGCAGGCCCTGCCTTATGAGCTGCCTCTGGTTGGAGGAGTCATGCCCCGCATGATGATAACGATTCTGGGCTCGGTGAAGCCCCATGCTGACAGGTAAAGAGGCCCAAACTAGCAAGCCCCAGGTATTTGCTGCTGGGTTGTTTCAAAAAGAAAGGTCTATGTTGAGTTTAAAACTTTCATGTATGTATTTGAAATGCAGAGTGGTGGTCATGGGGGGGAATCTTCATCTGCTGGCTCACCCGCTAACCATCAAAATGCCCATGACGGCCAGGGCTGGCTGTGACCCTGGAGTCAGTACGTCAATCCAGTCTCTTGCCACCTTCTAGGGAGTTCATTAGCAGAGGCTGCAATCAGAAACAGAGCCGGGACCCAAACTCCGGCACCCTAACATGGGGTGTGAGCCTCTTACGGGGTGACTTAACCACTGCCAAATGCCTGCCCCTTATCAGGCTTTTAAAAATAACACACTGAGACTTATAGCTTGGTATACAGGTGAGGTAGGATGCTTATACTCACACGTAGTATGAGGAGGCGGAGAACACATTGAAGCCACTCAGTGAGCCCGACCCTGGGGTTAGCTAAAGCCTTACCAGTGCATGACCCAGTGCACAAAAGGTTCACCTCTAGCCATGTGCACAGGTTTATTCCAGAATCCATGAAGAGCCCTAGGAATGTCCACTGCATTGCCCCCTGGGCAATTGGGGAGACAAAGCATGGCTGCCAAGATGAACCCTGTGGCTGTTGGGCCAATTCTGCACTCACACAGTGCCTGCACTCGCTCCCTCTGCAGCAGCCCGCTCTGCTCCTGCTCGATGCTCGATGCCGCCAGACTAAACTCACCCTTCTGTCCGCACAGCCGGGAGAGCTTCCCTAAGCACCCTCTGTCCCTGCATGTTTGACAGCAAGTTACAAAGAATATACCAAAGCACTACAAGTCCTGGGCAAAATGGATTAAAGAGGATTTCATTTTGGCTAAAAAAAAAAACAAAAACATTGGGGCTATTGGTTCTTTGCTCCAAAGGAATCCTATTGTCATTTTCCTCAATTTAATTGTCTGAGGATACACCTTACTGGGAAGATTAAAACATCCTGAGAATCTTTGTTAATCAGTCTGCAGTATAGGCCTTATTTTAAAATTTTATCATCTTTAAAGACAAACAGGGAAGGAGGGAGGATCTTCCCTTCACCAGTTCACTGTTGTCACCTGCAACAGTCAGGGTTGGGCCAGGCCAAAGCTGGTCAAGCAGAGCTCTACCCACATCGCCCAAGGCGGTGGCAGAGACCATCTCCTGCTGCCAGCCAGGCCGCAGTGGTGAGAAGCTGGTAAGAAACGAAGTATTCTATACAGGCAGCAGATGTCCCAAGCGGGGGCTTCACCTGCTGCGTCATGACGGCCCACCTAGGCCTTGCTTTAGAGCAAGAAGCTCCCCAACTCTGGTTTAGTCTCCCAGCAACACACCTGGGAAAATCAGCCTGGGAAACACAGGGGACTCTGTGTTATCATCCAAGGACAGGCTCCAAAAGCAGCACATGGAACGCTGAGTATTTTTATTGTTATGACTTTATACCTTGGCAACAGGGCACCATGAGGATGCTCGCTATCTGCTAACTTTGGAGTTGCCCATGACAGGCACGGAAAGCACCAAGGCAGGGCAGGAGAGAGAGAATCATTAATATCTGCAATACCTGGTTCTAACCCTCTCCATGGAAGGGCTGGCATGAGTGGAATCTGAAAGGGAAGGTATTAGAACGGAATAAGAACGGTATGACCCAAGACACAGACTTAAAACAATTTAGTCCATAGTCTTGCTGACTTTATGGCCATGCATAGACTGACTACTTGGCCCAGTGTATTTGCAGTTGGAACCCACACTCATCGTAGTCACTGTGGTCTCTGGTTTGAATCAGATTTGCTCTGAATTTCGAGAGAGGGCATGATGTCGCCTTCCACTTTAATCCTCGCTTCAATGAGAACGGCAGGAGAGTCATTGTCTGCAACACCAAGACAGACAACAACTGGGGAAAGGAAGAGCGGCACATGGCGTTCCCCTTTGAATTTGGTAAACCCTTCAAGGTAAGTAACCGCCGCTCTTCTGCATTGATTACGTGTATTTCTCAAGGCCAATCTAAAACTGCAGTGTACCAGTGTACTTAACATGAAACTATTTTTAACTTCTATTATAAGGGGGGCCTGGGGAGACAGGGAGAGGACATGGTCTCATTGGTTCACTCTGTGAAAGCCCACAAGAGTGTAGGCTGGACAGGGCAAAGGCAGGAGGAGCCGGTGAGAGATCCAGCTACTTAAGCCATCACCCCGAGGGGTCTGCATGGTACGACAGTGGCATTAGCAGCAGAGGTAGGACTTGAACCCAGGCCCTCTAATGTGGGATACAGGTATGTAAAGCAGCATCTTAACCAGCATGCCATATACCTGTCCACTGACATGAATTTCTATCACTGGTCCTGGGGCACCTAAGCCACTGGTCTCTCCACCAGGCCGAGAGCAATTTTCAGGAGTGTCACACTGCCAAGTTCCTTACAGTGGCCTCCTCAGTATCACTGTGCCACCTCTCCAAGTTCAAGCTTTCCGGAAATGAAAAACAGTATTTTCAATAATTTTTAAAAATCACATGTTTATGGCACAATTGTATTGAGACTTAGTTTTTCTTTCTTTCTTTTTTTTTTTTTAAGATTTATTTCTTTATTGGAAAGTCAGATATAGAGAGGAGCAGAGACAGAAAGGAAAGCTACTCCCCAGGTTGCCACAACAGCTGGAGCTGAGACAATCTGAAGCCAGGAGCCTCTTATGTGTCTCCCACATGGGTGCAGGGTCTCAAGACTTTGGGCCGTCCTTTCCTGCCTTCCCAGAGCTGGGTTAGAACTGGTGCCCATATGGGATCCTGGCACGTGCAAGGCGAGGACTTTAGCCACAAGGCTACTGTGCTGGGCCTGAGACTTAGTTTCTTAAAACACAGCATGGCGATCATAACTAAGCTTCAATAAAAACTGTAGAATGAATGAATACATTTGTTTTATGAAATAGAAAATCTATAGATTTTTAATTGAGTTTTCCATCATTTAGCCCTCTCATGTCCTCAGAGGTTACACCCTGCTGACCTATAACCACCGTTTTATACAGCTTTTTGTTGGGGGCTAGCATTGTGGTATAAGAAAAGGGCATTCTGCAAAGTTGGCATCCTTTGTGGGTGATGGTTCAGTCCTGGCAGCTCCATTCTGTGAGCTCTGTGCTCATGTGCATGGGAAAGCACTGGAAGATGCCCAAAGTGCGTGGGCCCCTGCACTCATGTGGGAGGCCCAGATAAAGCTCCTGGCTCCAGCCTGGTCCTAACTGTTGGACTCGTCTGGGGATTGAACCAGTGGGTGAAACTTCTTTCTCATCCTGAACTCAGGACAGACTAACTTGAAATTATTTGGCATCTCATTTCTACATTTAAAATTTGAGATATAGATGATGTGTCTCTGACATACCTGAGACTTCATCTAACAGTGTAGTGTGTGTGCCATTTCAGATACAAGTCCTGGTGGAACCCGATCACTTCAAGGTCGCGGTCAATGACGCCCATCTGTTGCAGTACAATCATCGCATGCGACACCTCCGGGAAATCGGCAAACTGGGAATTTCCGGTGACATAAACCTCAACAGTGCTTCACATGCTATGATATAATCTGGAAGGGACAGACAGCTTCAAAAAGCAAAATTTAGTCTAAACCTATGTTATAAGTTTTATGTTCACTATGAGGGAAAGGCTTCACATTTATTCACCAGCATCCTTCTTGTAGGTCATCCTTTTAATAAACATTCTTATGCCAACAACTGCCTGTCTTCATGTCACTTATTGCAGCAAAGTAGGTAGTGATACTAAAACAGTATTAGAGTCTCCTAGACTTTTCCATTCTTGTCCTTTTTATCCCAAAATGACAAGCACCAGGAAATGCTACAGGGAAATCACTTTCATTTTCTTACCTCAATAGTCGGGAAAGCAAGGTATTTCCACAGTTTCGACGTCTGTGGGGCCAGGACAGCATGACCCTGCTTGAGGAAGAACTCTGGGTTTGGAGGACCCGTCGGCATAGAGGGGCCAGGTCTCTGCCCCCCAATCAGGCTCGCTCACTGACTCCAGGATAACTGGAACATGGTGCTGGTGCCACTGGCCCAGGCAGCTTTCTCCAGCTGAGGCAGCACTCCTATGGGGGGAGGGGGAGAAGGAAGAGGGGAGAGGGGAGAGGCGAGAGGCAAGAGGGCAGAGCTGAGGGCTTCCTGCCATGGTGTTCAGCAGTGAGAAGTTTTTTTTTTTTTTTTAAATAATAATTACATGGTGGATCAGAGTGGGAAGGATCGAGGTTTAGGGGAAATTGTGTGAATTCATTACTTCCAAATTTGCTCTTTCTTCTTGTTGTTTCTGGGGGAGGGGGAACCACTCATGACTCTCCACATGTACCACTGTCCAGGGCTGAGGAACCACCACCTCATATCAACCCGGAGTCTCACTGTGCACATATTCCGAGGGTTCTGTCCAAGTGGTTTGGATAGTTCTGAAATGCTGCTGATTTCACTGATCCAAGGATGATGTCACCCTCCCAGAGTCCATCGGCTCCATTCACCGAGATTTTTTGCTGTCATCGTTTGTTCGGGGTAGTTGACCAGTTAGTTCTGTTCTGCTACAGCACCAAGTGAGCTGCCATATTGTCCTTTTACAACAGGGCCTGTATCCACTGCCCCAACTTTATCAATAAGTAGGGCATGTTCTTGAGAGTCCAAGTAGCTGTGTCAGGTGTCCCAAGCATTGCCGGATCCCCCACCCCTGGGGTACAAGAACTCGACATCCACCTAGAAGGCAGTTCTCAGGGCCCGGGACAGGAGACCCAAGCCCTGCCAGATCCCTGACCCCAGAGTTCATGAAACCAACACCACCTAGAAGGCAGGCCCCAGGATCTGGGCCAAGAGACCCACCCCCGCCACTGGTTCCCCTGTCCCTGGGGCTCAGGAACCCACCTTCACCACACATGTGGGCTCCATGACCTGAGCCAAGCTACCCAAGACCTGTCAGGTCCCCAGTCCCTGGGATTCATATATTTGGCCCCCACTTGGCCCACGATGGCATGAAGTTGTAAGTGCCTAAAGACATGGGATGGTACATTTCAGTGTATATTTCAATAACTATGTGAATCACTATCCTCAACTGTCTTGCTTGTATAAATAAATGGAAGAACACATAAAAGAGATTACTTGATTTCTGTAAAATTAAATTACCTGAACCTTGGTTTCTGTGATTGTAACAATGTGCATCATGTGAAGAAACCAAGTATACACTAGAAAAATATAATACCCAAAGCTGTTACAAGCCAATATATTTAAAATTCAAACTAAGGGGCCTGGCGCGATAGTGCAGTGGTTGAAGTATTCGACTTGCACGCCCAGGATCCCATATGGATGCTGGTTCTAATCCCAGCGGCCCCCGCTTTCCATCCCTGCTTGTGGCCTGGGAAAGCAGTCAAGGATGGCCCAAAGCCTTGGCACCCTGCACCTGAGTGGGAGACCCAGAAGAGCTCCTGGCTTTGGATTGGCTCAGCTCCAGCTGTTGTGGTCGCTTGGGAAGTGAATCATCGGACGAAAGATCTTCCTCTCTGTCTCTCCTCCTCTCTGTATATCTGCCTTTCTAATAAAAATAAATAAACCATAAAAAAAATTCAAACTAAGAATTAAGCATTAAAAATATAATATAAATAATCCTGGGCCCAGCATGATGTCTTAGTGATTAAATCCTCACCTTGCACACGCTGGTATCACATATGAGCACCAGTTTGTGTCCTGGCTGCTCCATTTCCCATCCAGTTCCCTGCTCGTGGCCTGGGAAAGCAGTACAGAATGGCCCAAAGCCTCGGGACCTGCACCTGCCTGGGAGACACAGAACTTCCTGGCCCCTGGCTTTGAAATGGCTCAGCACTGGCAACTGTGGCTGGCCACTTGGGAAGTGAGCCAGCAGATACAATATCTTTCTGTTTTGCCTTCTCTCTCTAAATCTGTCTTTCCAATAAAAATAAAAAATATGTATACAAATATAAATAATTCTGTCAAAGTTTAATATAGTATTTCAGTTGAACCAAGAAGCATTTATAAGCTCTAAGTGAGTATAGTTAACTTTTAGTTTAGACATTTTAAACAAGAGGCAATGCATAATACTTTTTATTCTGCATGGTTAATGTATAAAATGTTCCACTATCCACAGAAATATATCTAAAACACAGTTTGAGAAATGCAGAATATTAACCCATTTTATGATACTATATAGTGAATCAAACAGAAATAAACAGAAATACATATTCTACAAATTTCCATTGTTGAAGAATATATCACAGCACTGATAACGTGAAGGAAAATGTTCTGATTTACTTTTGAACTCTGAGTTCCTCTGGCTGCTCAGCACCGACGGGCCTCAGAGGGGAAAAGGCAATCAGGTTGCCCCCAAAGGAGACGTGTCGGCCATGATCCAGAGGCCGCCTCTCCATCGGGGTGTAGAGATGGCCACAGTTCATACCTGGCTATAGAACAAATTCAGAAATGTTACTTACGTAATTGTCAGGAATGACTAATTAAATCTTTACACAACTAATCACATATGTAACTAACATAGTTATTTAGAAAACCAATAACAAATGTTATTTGTTTTAACAAAATTACTGGGTAGAATGGTGGCATTTTTCAGATCTATTTTCAAATATTCTAATTTTGATACTTAAGAAGGTGATTATTATCTCAATGGTCTTAGCGTATGCAGGATAAATATAACGGAGACCAGCTGTTAAGACATACATGCATCTCCACAAATCCTGCACCTGTAGGCTTTTTACAAAGAGAGTCTGCTGGGAATTTTCTCCATGTTCAAATGCTGCTATGGGGCAAGTTAAACTCTGGGCTTAGAGCACACCAACGGACTTCTTTAAAAAAAAAAAAAAAGAGAGAAGCCTTTAAATTCTTATGATATGCGAAAATGGGAGAAAAAATAATGTGAAGCTAAATCATAAGATAAAAAGATTAAACATTTGTGTCATTGATAACAAAGACAGTATATCAAGATTCATTCATTTCTATATTTACCTAGATCATAGAGGGTGAGAGCCAATCAACAATGTATATTTTAGACCAGAAAACAGGAACAAATCTTTGTTACAGAAGTTGGCTTATGCTGACACCTCCAACCCTCCAGGTCTGTATTCATTCAAAGAAGGTGAAGGCCAGGCCCAGCTGGGGACCTGGGTGGCTGGGGTCCTAGCCTTGAGCGCCAGGATCCCAGAGGCGTGCCAGTTCCTATCCCAGCTGCTCCAATTGCTATCCAGCTTGTGGCCTGGAAAAACAGTGGAGGAAAGCCCAAAGCCTTGGGACCCTGCACATGCATGGGAGACCCAGAAGAAGCTCCAGCTCCCTGGCTTAGGATTGGCTCAGCTCCAGCTGTTGTGGCTGCTTGGGGAGTGAATCAAAGGACGAAAAATCTCCCTCTCTGTTTCTTTTCTGTCTATCTGACTTTCCAATAAAAATTTAAAAATAAAAGTAAATAAATTCTACAAAAGAACCAGCCTACAAAAACAGTAATCTTAAAGAATTAGAATACAGGACCTGGCGTAGTAACCTAGCAGCTAAAGTTCTTGCCTTGTACAAGTTGGGATCCCATTTGGGCACTGGTTCTAATTCTGGTTGCCACACTTCCCATCTAGTTCCCTGCTTGTGGCCTGGAAAAGCAGTCGACGACGGCCAAAGCCTTGGGACCCTGTGCTTGCATGGGAGACTCAGAAGTCTCCTGGCTCCTGGCTTCCGATTGGCTCAGCTCTAGCCCTCCAGCCACTGCAGCCACTTGGGAAGTGAATCATCGGATTGAAGATTTTCCTCTCTGTCCTCCTCTCTGTATATCTGACTTTCCAATAAAAATAAATAAATCTTAAGAAAAAAACAAAACAAAAAAGAATTTGAAAGCAAAAAACCAATGACGTCAGACATAGCCTAGCAGCCATGGTAGCTTAGCAGGTAAAGTTTTTGCCCTACATGTCTGAGATCCTATATGGGTGCTGGTTCTTACCCCGGTGGCTCTGTTTCCCATCCAGCTCTCTATTGTGGCCCGGGAAAGCAGTAGAGCATGGCCCAAAGCTTTGGGACCCTGCACCCATGTGGGAGATGCAGAGGAGATTCCCAGCTCCTAGCTTCGGACTGGCTCAGCTCTGGGCACTGTGGCCGCTCACTTGCGGAGTGAATCAACGGACCAAAGATCTTCCTCTCTGTCTCTCCTCTCTGTATATTTGACTTTGAAATAATTAAAAACAAAGAAAATAATAAATGTCATAAGGTGGGATACCTACCTCTCCTCAACCGTGTCTGTCAGAAGGGCGGTAAGCTTGCCGCATACTTTTCTTGCATCCCTGGCAAATAGCTAGCATAACCTAAGCCACATACTAGATTTAGAATTATCCAATCAATCTGTCCTAACAAATTTGATGCACAAATCATATTGGAAAACAAATCTTGGTTTACACAACATGACACCTTTAAAAGCAAACAAGTTTATAGAGATTTTTCCACTCAGAAAAAGATAATTCAAGAGTAAGCAATGCAATGACAAGATTAAAATTCAATTTGTATACAAACTGAAATATTAGTATTCATTTTATAAGACAAAGAGACAATATAAAGAAACTTACAAAATGAAGTTAGAAAACTTACTGAATCAAGAAGGTAGTGTTCAGTAGTGAGACTTCCATTATCAAATAGTACTGAAAAACAGAGAAAAAATTAGTGATTTCTAGCTTTAAAAAACACTCTCAGTCAAG